AGAAAGGAAGTGGGGGAGAAAGGAAGTGGGGGAGAAAGGAAGTGGGGGAGAAAGGAAGTGGGGGAGAAAGGAAGTGGGGGAGAAAGGAAGTGGGGGAGTGGGGAGGGGAAAGTGTTTTGGGGGAAAATAGAGTGACAGCAAGTGAAGTGAGAGAAATGGAGGTGGGGGACATTTTGTCTGTGGGAGTGGTGTGGGGGTTTGTCATAGAGGAGAGAATATTTTGGCTTGAGTGACATGTGGCATAAGTATGGGCAAAGGAAAATGAGGTAAGGTGAAATGCACAAGAGTTCAACATGGTAGTATTATATTGTGAGGGAGTGGAGTGGGGAAGAGCTCACACTAGGAATGTACGAGACAATGAACTGAGAATGTCCAGGTGACCTACTCTGAAGAAAATATATTCCTATAAGAATCTATAAGTAATTTAAATACTAAATTATTAATTATAACAAAGATACACTTGAATATATCCAAGTTATAACTTGTCCATTATTGTTCCATAGTATAAATTAGTATTGTCGCCTAGATATTTTCAGATATGTATAATATTACTATTAAAACAGGGAAAATAGTACAATAATGAATGTGCAAATATAGAGTCATACAGTTTAATGAGTTTATATTTTCATAAATAGAATTTTTTATATACTGTTTGTCTGTTTTACATATTTCTTGTCTCTTGACACTTTTATGCAAAGAAAATATCAGCAAAACCAGCAAGTACCACAAACCTTAACGCTGTTCAAAAAATCCTTGACTTGCTGAAGGTTCATGTCTTTTGCAATTCAATGAATTTTTCAAAACTATAAACGAAATTATATTAAAAATTTATTTTAAATATTTTGTTTCAAAATCGACGCCATCTTGCCTTCTTAGACGAATAATAGTCGAGACGAAAATTCCTGATATTTGGCGACGAAGACACAAAAGTACGCTTATCAAAGATGGCGACTTCTGCTTTGCAATTAAACAAAATATTTTGTACAATTTTAGGTACTATACTTGTTTGTACTTTTCCCAAAAACGTTTATGGCTTACTGTGCCTGGTGATATTCATTATCTTATTATTTTTTTAAGGTCCCCGTCAAAAGATAGCATTAAATTTGCGTTTTGCTACAACTTTAAATTTGGCCCAGACCTGTAAAGCTGGAAGACAGAAATTTAGGGAAATTAAGGTGGGTTATTCTTGAAAGTAGGTTACAGTATCATACCTCTGGACAGACCCCAGTACTTGGAGTAACAGGGGGGAAGTCAATTTCACATGAATTAACATTTTCCTTTTTAATTTATTAGCCTTGTGTGGCTGCTGAAATTCAAATTATACACCCCTGGGTAGAACCCCAGCTCTGAGATCAACAGGGGGTGGGCAGCAGTTGCATTTTATAATCACTGGGTCATTCCACAAAACACCCATCCCTCCCCCACAGAGGAAATTGGAAGTTAACCCCCCCCCCCCCCCAATACCAATGGGGGGTAGTGAATGTCAATCTTTTTTGGAACGGCCCAATTTTTTTCCAGCCTTAAAATCAAATCTATTTTTACAAACCCCCTGGAAAGACCAGGATTAATAGGGGGTGGTGGTAGCAGTTAATTTCTTTTTATCTATTCTTTCTTTTTATCTTTTCAGTAGAAATCCAATATTCACTTTTATACACTTCCCCCTGGATAGACCAGAGTACTGGGATAGACAGGGGGGTTGGCAATCAATCCTACATGACATCATTTATCTTTTCTTCCTAGCCTCGGCCACATAAGCTACGTTTAGCAGCGGAAATCCGAGATCTATTCCACAACAATGAAATGGTCGCAGTTCTAAGTTACTTTGACATGAAAAATGTTGAATGGAATGAACTTGTTTACGAAGTGGGCAAAAGTAACATCAACTTTCTCTTTCTACCCAACAAGATCGTTCACCGAGCTTTAGACAGCACAGCTTACGTCAATATTTGCCCACTGTTCATAAGTACTACAGTTGTTGCATATTCCAAAGATATCCAAATTAAAGGACTACTCAGTGCGTTAAAAGGTCAAAGGAAAGTTCAGTTACTTGGTGGAAAAGTTAACGATCGATTATTCGGATTAGACAAGTTAACCTGGGTGTCAAAATTGCCTCCACTAGAACAACTCCATCATGAGATTTCAATGACATTATCCCAACCAGGGCAAAATATTAGACAGTTGTTAACGAGAAATCAGCAAGTGCTCTCACAAAATCTAGAAATGTTAGCTAGTCCAGAGGAGAAATAACTATGTGATGTAATGTTGTATATACAAGAACTAAGATAAAGTATTTCTATTATGTAAAATGTTGAAAATATTGAAATGCTAAATAAAAGTTTTTTGTTTGTAACTGATATTACTAGGCATGTTTGCACATGCATGTTTATGCCCCAATGCACCCTACTTTACCACTTTACTCTGTCTACTCTGTACTCGACCTCACTGATCAGCCAAAAATTTCGGTCAGTGTACCATTTTAGGGGTCAAAAAAAATTTCTGGACAACCAATATTTTTCGGAACATACACAAAATTTTCGAAAAATCACAAAATTTGCCAAAAAATTGAATTAAGTTTAGACAAAATTTACAGAATTTGTCACATTTCTTTTATTGCAACCCAAAATTGCCCGACTGTTGATCGAATATTGCCCGACTGCCCAAAAAACTCGCCCGGTACGCCTATGCGGATGTGCCAAAATTTTTATGCGTTAGATTTACTAAACGTGGCGTGAGAGAGAGCGTGAGACTGAAGCGAATTGCGTGAGACTCACGCCGAATGCGTGAGAATTGAGAGGTCTGGCGTGAGAGCGTGAGACTGAAGCGAATTGCGTGAGACTCACGCCGAATGCGTGAGAGTTGAGAGGTCTGGAGAGTGCTGACATCAATGGGTTACGGGTTAATCAGACTACTTGCCCATGCATCCTGTTAACCCTTTTGTGTGGCAATGCACCCAACTTTAATGCCAGATAAGATTTTCTCATCAAGGGGAGAGTGCTTCCACTCAATTTACACTGAAGTTTATGCATATCAAGGCTTTGACAATATTCTTTGTATGGATACCATTATTGGACACAGCAAAGACATACGTAGCTGTATTAGAGAGGTGTTTGTTTAATATAGCATTGTACAGTATGTCAGGAAATTGGAAACTGTCCATAATAGAATACTTCGACAAGCCTCCCAATAAAATTAGCCAAAAACACCTGTTCACAGGAAATCATTGAAAATCTGTGAATCCTGGTCAGATTCTAACCTATAGGAAAGCCTGTATTGAAAGTTTGTATTGCACAACCGATCGAGATATCGGGTGTACAATTTTGATGCTTTCTATATATTTACTATTAAATTTTCGAAATCTTAGGTGCACTGATCATTTTAGCATGTTTGAAGAACGAGGAAAATAATGGTAAATAACATTCACATTGAGGAAGCTGAATAACATTCACATGTTAGGAACCTGTATTCAAACATTCCAACCATCCCGGTTTTCCCCGGGACTGTCCCGGTTTCTGTAGTATTTTAATAGTCGTATTCTTCAAATAAGGCTCATGTGACAAATATTAATGAAATTCATTTGGTATGGCTTTCAACGTTAGTGTAATAAAACTAGTTTTTGTAGCATCTACTGTGATTTTATTGTTTAATTCAAACTCAACTCAGGCAATTTTAACACTAACCCAAATAGACACCACATCAATGAGAAAAGCGTGGCATTCATTCGAGAGAGGCGTTTATTCGAGGGAGGCGTTTATTTAAGTAAAATTGGAAAATTGGGAAGTGTCCCGGTTTAGAGGACTCGGAGGTTGGAATGTCTGTGTATTCGCTTCCTCTAATACAAATAAAAAATGAGAAATAAACATTTATTTGAACAGCTTAGCAAAATAAATTTTTTGAAGAAATGCGTAAAGTTTCCAGTAACATAGTGTGAATAAATCTGTCCATATTTATATGTTCATGATTTCACCCGAGTTGTTCCACAAAACAGCCAATAATCCACAATACACGAGAGTTCAAAAACTTCGTAAAATAGTTCCATTAATTTAATAGATGACAAAAGTTAATTTTATGTACATGTATCATATTTTTGGATACTAAATGTTTCGTCCCTTTAAAACTCATTATTTCGCATGTTCACCATGCCCATGATGTTCATCTGGCTTAGCAAATATCTTCTCTACAACACAGGCGACAAGGAAAGCTCCAACTCCCCACGTAAAACCAGGAAAAAAGTAACGAAAATTCGCTCTAGAGCAATAATATGGATGACTTCTCCATGCCTCGAATCTAGCCCAGGGATCTTTGTTAGGAACTTTGAATTTCTTTATTGAATCCATCCAGAGAAAATAGAAGATCTAAGCTTTCTTTTAATCGTATAAAGCTACCATTAAATAATTCCAAATGATCAAAAATTTCAAATGAAAATCCACAATCTTGTACAGTGTCTTTAAAATATTGCTGTTTTACTAAACTTTGTAACCGAGCAATATTCTTTCCGTAGATGTTATCTAGATATACACAGAAATAATTGAGTCCACAGTACGTGTCGCTGACCGGTTTCCTACGGTAACATGCGCCTAAATCCA